GCCTGCCCAACATTTTTTCTTGTTCGAGAAGCCACTTCACTTGGATACATGTGACTAAAGAGAAGAAAATACTACCACAACTTCCTTTTTATGCCGACTTGAAGGCTTGAGCATTTAAAGTGGGAGATGACAAAACTGCAACACTCGCTTATATTAAACTCATCGTCCATGAGTGTGGATGCTAGTTAGTTACCATTATAGTTATCGTCCTTGCTGTCAAGAGCCATTAAATGTACTTTTTCTCTTTCACCAGTCTATGTGTTTTATGAAAAGGCTGCTGTGAATCCCATGGAAAAGTCGTCCCCTTTCCCTAATCCTGAATCTATCTGCTTGGTGTGATAACACTTAAGAGGACAGCGTACATAGCTATGTGTATGTTTACATAGTTTAGCCTGTTTTTAGAGCATGTCCAAGGACAAAAACATAGGTCAAGAATGTGTGTGTGGCCAGAGTTGTGAGGAATGTCGTACTGTGACCTCTGACCCCTCTGTGTGTTTGTGTGTCCACACCTTGCTTGTCTCCACTCATGCACACACACGCATAAAAAGATCTGAAATCTTTTCCTTTGGCCTTGTACAAAGATTAGACATATACACACAAAAAAAAAAACTGAAATTGGATGCTTCCTAATAGAAACAAATGTACCTTTGTGTCCTCATGTACCCTTCATTCTTTCACAGTTAGCGTTTCGTGTGCATCGACACAAAAATGTTTGTGTCTGTCTGAGCAAACGTGGGGTTTCTGTCTGTTTCTCTTGGTTTCTTGTGCCTGTGCATTTGAAGTCTGTGCACATATCTCAGTGTAATTACCCTTGTGGTGTGCCAGGGGTGGGATCTAAATGGTAGAGTCTGTCAGGGAGGGTATAAAGCGTGGCATTTGGGTTTTTATACAGTAGCAACATTTTAAAGTCAAAGCTAATGGATATTACATTACTGTTGTGAGAATACAAGAGCTCAAAATGCAGTAAAAAAATACATGGATGCAGTATCTTTAAGCAAAGCATAATCCATTTTTACAGCTAAGTAACACTATTTTGCTTTGCTGAGAAGTAATCCATGTATTTTCAGGTGTAAATCCCCATTGCTCAAATAATTTAATATCAAATTTCAGCAAAATAAAAAACAGTTCCCTTTCGAGGTGATAACTTCAACATTACGCCAGGGTGACATATATGAGAAGGCAGTAGTTCCCCATATAGGCTACGTCACGCTGACGTAATGTCACGTTCCCGCCTCTCAGGGAACCGTGGTTACGATAGTAACTGGAGACGTTTTACAGTTGAGTTTTTTCTATAAATAAATTATGTCTGTTATTGTAGTGAAAAGTTTTTAAATATAAAACAAAATAATTAAAACATTAAATATATATTTTTATTTTTTTAATTACAAATACTGTAGATTGGTAAAGAGAATTAAATAGGAATCATTCACTATTCAGAATAATGACATTGTAAAAAAAAAAAAGAAAAGAAAAATTGTGTAGAAAGTGGTTCCTAATGTAATTAAATAATTTGATGCCGCATCAGCAAACTTACAAAAGTTCACTTAAATAAAACGCTAAAAAAAAAAACATTTTTCCTATCTATAAATATTTTTTATTGATATAATACATAGTCAAAATCTTGAATTTCCAGAAGAAAATGAAAACAGTTGAGTTAATTGAATATCACTAAAAATAAATGTGTTAATGATTTATCACATTTTTTCTTTTGTCAAATCAAATAATTTTTGTGGTTCAGATAACATAATATTTTTATTTTCTGTTGATTAAACTAATCTCCTTCATTGTATTAACTAAATTCTTTAATTTCATTGAACTTAAAATTTTAAGGCAACCAGGTGCTCACTTTTTAAAGTTAAACCAACATTTTTTTTTACAGTACACCTAGTTTCTGTTAATAAAAAGTTTTTTTTAAAGTGTACTGTCCTAATTATAGCTGAAATATCTTAACAATAAAGTTCAATTGTTCACAATAAAGAATATTGTGTTGGACAGTGGGTTGTGAATCGCTGGTCTAGCTGAGTGGACGCTGAATTATTAATAATGATTAAAGCAAAATATGACTTGTTTTTAATCTTTGATTTAGAGTGTGTGACTTGGACATGTCTTTAGGAGTTTAAAATCTATTAATGTCCTGTCCAAGTAACACTGCATCACAATATCCAGCATCCTACAGCTGAAATTCAGGAAAGTTAATGTCCGCAGCATGCACAGACTATCTGGATGTTATGTGGTTACCAGAGTAACAGGGCTCTTGGAGGACCAGGCTGGAGCCTGCGGCCGCTGGGCTGCTGTGTGTGTGTGTGTGAAGGCCTGTCGCTCCGTGGCTCTATGCCCAGCCACCACTCCGGAAAATTCCTCAGTAAGGGTCAGCAGCGGAGATGCATTCGAAGCCATATACAGCCATTTTACTAACTGCGCCTTTAAATGGTTACCTCATTAAATTTGTTTGCTGAGAAATTCATGTGGTTCCACGTATTAAATAAATCTTGCACAAACATTAAAACTAAATCAGAGGAATTGCAGTTGGTTTGTGATTTATGAGAAACGCAGTAGAAAAAGACTGTGTGGTCCATTGATTTTGCTCATTTGGCTCATAAGGCTTTCAGTCTGTTGAAGTAAGGCTTTGCTAAGCATGATGTTACATGCACTCACCAAAACATTAGCATTTGCAGTTCTTAAGGACACTCGATAACCATCATTTTAAATTCACACGGCTAACGAAAACCACCACGGGCCCCCAAAGGATTTTCAAAACATCGTATCCTGACAAATCCCAACAAATGTGCAACATGGGGGAAGCTACTGTTCAAACAGCAACTTAGCAGGAGTCCTGCAGCCTCCAAGTTGTTTGTTCTTCTTTGGCTTTGCCTTCAGCTGATTTTAAGGTAAACTGAATTCAAAACCTATGTTTGCCCTGTGGTTTATTAACTCCCTGACTGATATTTCCTGCTGCCTGGCAAAGAGTAGCAGATTCCAATGCAAGGCACTTTTGTCTTCCTGTATAAATTCATACTCTAAAACATCCTTCCTACAGCTACTTTAAAAGTCGAAAACCACTTCTATAGGTTTCTAGATGGCAGCCTCACTAAAAATGTGTTTGTGCAAGACTGCATGGCATTCTTGTGTGGTCCAGCTAATAGTGGGCTGTGGAAGTGTAGAGTTGCGAGCAGCTGCACCTGAGAGGGGACTTGTGCCTGGGGTGACTTGTGAACATTGTCAACAAATTAAAATTCTGTGAGTAATTACTCACCCTCATGTTGTTCCAATCCAGTAAGACTTTGGTTCATCTTTGGAAAACAAATTATAGATATTGTTCATGAAATCTGAGAGCTGGATCACTCCCTCCAAGGGATTGAAATTTGCCGCCCCAGAAAAGTTATTAAAGGGGTCATGAACTGGCTTTTTAAATTTTATTATATTGTTGTCTGAGGTCAACGTATGATGTTTGCTTGGATTTTGCATTCAAAAACATCAAAATGAATAAGTAATAGGCTATTTTCTACCCTAGTTTTGAGCCTAGCTGAAAAACGTTGGGTTTTTAAGGGCGTCTCGCACTAAAGACTTGGAAGTAAACGCCCACTGCTGTGAGTGGATAACAGTTTTCCATATTATAATGAGTTTCAACTCACCCGCCGGTGTATGTGGGGGAAATTGTTTTGAAAACGTCCAATGTTGTAAAATAGCAAACGGAATGATTCGCCAATACATGTTCGACCCAGAGTCCGTGTGTGTGTGGCACAGGACTGTTTAATCGGTCTGCAAATCCAGTCTTGTTTACAAAACAATCCTCAGTGAAATGAAGCGAACAGACGGACGATGTTTTACCTCATCAGCTGGAACGTCATTAAAAATAAAGTTGAACCATGCAGTCCTATTGGAATCCAGAGGAAGCTTATGCAGCGACTGTATTCTTCCACAACCAGGCACTGGACAATATTCTGTATTGCTCGGTAGCTCGATCCGGTTTGTCATCACGAGGTAGGCATCTATGTAATTTAGCTATGCGTATAATGCGCGAATCGGTGGGCGGGGCTAAACCGGCCGTGTTGAAGTATGTGTTGATCTTCTTCTGCGGGGGTGGTGTTTTATCCTCTTTGACGTCATAGTTCCCCACTTTGAAAAACGAGTCGTTTGCTGGGACTGGTGTCAATAAAAGCTTTTATTGGACTAACAATGACGTTTTCAGTTCTGAAACTTACAGGATATTCTTATAATATGATGACCTAGATGTCAAAAGCTCAAGGAAAATTTGATTTCTCAATTCATCACCCCTTTAAAGACATCGTTAAAATAGTCTAAGTGACTACAGTGGCTCAATCTTAAGTTTATCAAGCGACGAGAATACTTTTTGTGAGCAAAAAACAAACAAAAATAATGACTTTATTCAACTATTCATTTCCTTCTCTGTGGTGAAACTGCGCAGCGCTTCTGTGTTGTACGTCACACATATTGGCCAATGCTGGTCATGTGTGATGTGTGTGATGCGTGTGACGTACAACCAGAAGCCTGCGCAGTTACACTACAACTTCTAAGGTCCCTTAAACTCTAACTGAGGAGAAAGATATGGTGGAGAAAAAACTAAATATTTACAGCATTGAAGAGCAGGGTTATTATCCTTAATTAAATAAAAAGAAAACTGAAAAATATACAAATAAAAGCTAATTCAGAAGTAAAATAAAATCTAAAGTAACACTGTTGAAGAGACAAGAGTGTGCAGAATAAGATTGCAGTCACCACTGACCTATGTGTCCAAATCCTGGTTCCTGGCTCCCTCTTATGGTCAAAATGTTTATAACTCCATTATGGAGTTATAAACATTTTGACCATAAGAGGGAGCTGTTCAACACACTGATATGAAGACTACATTAAAATTCTATTTATTTAATAAAAAAAGAAAAGAAAACTGTGACCAAAAACAACTGTATTTCTAGAAACATGAAAGGATCTTAAAATCAATTGGAGATCTCATTAAATGCTCAATTAATAAGATGCAGACATACATAATCAGGGTAATATTTATTATGCTTTACAATAATATCGTCCTTTGGTGCCAAGGAGGCTGGCACCCAGCAGATGTCTAACTCTTCACCTTTTTTCACAAAGGGAGTAAAGGAGCTCTATCTGTTCAGCATACTCAAAGCCTGGGCTAGAATGAGAGGATGCAGTTAAAATGCAAGTCAATGTGGTCGGTTCATTTAATTCGCAAAATTGTTGTTTTTCCAATCTGAAACTTACCGACCGGGTGTTTCTAGAATCAGAGGGATATTATCCAGTCGAGGCTCATTCACAATTTCTCGGAAAGCAGTAATACCTATTTGGCCACGTCCAATGTCTTCATGGCGGTCCAGATGGCTGCCTAATGTTCCTTTTACAGACAAATAACACAATCTCAAAACAAGTAATAATAAATATGGAATATTCATTTAGGCTAAACTTGTCACACTGTCATTGCACAACCAATTGCAATAGAGTGTTACAGTAATGATGTATTTTTGAACGCCAACACAGTTTCATCCCGGTTCTCTCTATAAAAATCCTACAGGATTTTTCCATTGGCTTTTGGATTATTGCATTAAATAAGCTCTGTGAACAACAATAGTATTTACACATTTTTTTCATAATATAATCTTTACAAATAAACACAACTTTTATGATTTTTAAAGCCTAAATACATTAAACAAATGTAAAAAGCTAAATGAATGACACCACAGTCACATGACAATAACATCACTCTTTCAAAAACATTTCCCCTTAAAGTCTGAGTAAGATAGTTTTAGTTTTAGGCTGTAAAAGGGGACTAATGAGTAGTAGATTCATTTTCCTGTTCAGCGTGATGACGTTTAACGTCCCAGACATTCTCTCTAGGCCTAGTCCCATTTAGCCACTTGTTAGTAACCTGCTATCCTGCTACTTTTACCATATCTTTCTATGGCAGAAAATACAGGCGTAGTATGCATGTGTACTGTGTGTGTGTTTTACATTAGCATTTGTCTCAAATTTAGCCTTTTTCTTACTCTCACAGAATTTTTTACAAAACACATCATTCCTGAAGCACTTTATATTGAGAAGACCAAATTATTGCTGCATACCTTTAGAGTCATTTAAATGAACAGCTCTCAAATAATGCAAACCAACCACACGGTCAAATTCATCAAGCATATTCTTTACTCCTCCAGGTGGTGAAATGTCATAGCCTAAACAGAAGATATCATCTCATCTCAAATACTGTATATTTAATCAGAAGAGATATCTTAAAGTCAAAAAAGTTAAGGTTTGTCATGTTAGCCCAAACTTTTAAATCTTTGTACCAAACTTATCTTTTGCCAAATAATTTGTGGTAATATATACGGGACTTCACACCGTACCTGCTGCAAAAGCATGGCAAGTGTCCAGACACACCCCAACACGTGTCTTGTCACGCACCCGGTCTATTATGCTTCTCAGTTCAATGAACTGCCCACCTACAGTGCTGCCCTGGCCACTCATGTTTTCAAGCACTATTGAGAGAAAAGAAAGAATATAATCCAGCTAAATTCACCAGAAAGCATGAACACACTCGCACATTTTCTACAAATCATCGCGGTTGTATAGTTGACCTGTAATGACGGCCGGGGTTTGCTGGTGTGCGTGGTTAATAGCTTGGGCAATTTTCTCCATGCATTTCTCAGGGCTGGAGTCCAAAGAAGCTCCAGGGTGAAAGTTAAACTGGCTGAGACCCAGTGCACTGCAGCGACTCAGTTCGTCCACAAGCATAGACTTGCTCTTACTGAACACATCTGGATTACAACATGCAGAGTCATTTGACATTCAGTCTTATATACAAAACATATGCAGCCTGGAATTGATTATTGACAAGATATTGACTCAATCAGCTGAGCTGTGTTTTTAAATATGCCAACCTTGTGGCTTTTAATTATCTTTAAATAATCAGTATTTGGTGGATGCACACAAAAAGAGTGGGAACAGTCAGCGCACAAACCTTCTTTAGGGGAACCGCAGTTCATCAAATAAGATCCATGTGGCAGGATGTGTATCGGATCGAAGCCATGTTGAGCACAGGCTATTTGAAATTTAACTGCAGCAGCTGGATCAAGGGCTGGTCTGGTCCAGGAGCGCTGGGAGCCCAAGAAAAGAGCAAAAGCATGACCTCCCATGGTCACACTTGATTCGACTGCTTTCCATATTCCTCCTTAAAGAGATAGTTTACACAAAAACTTCCTCACCCTCATGTTGTTCCAAACCTGAATGAATTTCTTTCTTCTGTCAGAAGATGTTTTAAAGAATGTTGGTAACCAGAAAGTTGATGGCACTCCATCGGAAGAAATAAAATACTATGGAAGTCAATGAGTGTCAGACTCGTCAGCAGTCTGGTTACCGACAATCTTCAAAATATATATATTTTTATGTGTGTGTGTTCAACAAAAGAAAGAAACTCTTACACGTTTGGAACAACTTGAGGGTAAGTAAATGATTACAACATTTTCATTTCTGGAAGAATATTTGTAAAATTGATATGCATTCATATCACTCACCTGATACTGAGACGTGAGCGCCTATGTATTTTTTCTTTGCCTTTATCTTTCTTTTCTGTGTCATTTCTTCTTCTCTGCTGCCCCCATCTGATAGTTCTGCATCAAAATGTTGTTGCTCCTTTGTTTCAGTAACCTCCTCCGTCTTTCTCTTCTTGCCTTTTCTTCGTGAGGCCATATTTTCCTGAGTCAAGAATAAGCAAGTGATTAGACATATTTAAAACTATAGATAACAAACAACCAATTATTAACCAATGTGGTAAATCTACACTGATGAAAACATTAATAATCATGAACCAAATATTGGTGTGCAGTTTACCTCAGAGATTCATAGTGCAATGAAAACAAAGATTTAAAATACTCTAGATTTAGGACAGGTGATTTGTGATCTGACATTATACATTTCAAATTTAGGCTACACTGGAGATGATACAGACAGGAGCTTTCAACATTGGATCCGGGCACCCCTTGGTAACTTACCTCAAGGGTGTGACAATTCAGGGGAAATGTTCAGAAGGTTAAAGTTAAAATGACAGAATTTGACATTATTTTTGTTTCATTCTGCTTTCTATAAAAATAATTTTATCATATGGACAATTTTATACATTATATCTAACAGATGGTAGAAAAAGATTCAGAATGGATGTTTAAAAATGGATGTTTATACAATACCAGAAAATCCCTGTACTAAAACATCATCTATATTTAAATAATATGTGAAATTTGATGGATAGACTGAAGAAGCCATTTAACTGATGTTGAAAGAGCGATACCAATAACCAACCAGTCCAAAAGAGCTTGATCTCACAATAAACAGTACATTGTTTTATTATAAGAACGGCCAAATAAAGAGTTATTGGACTTTTAATATTGAAGGTCAAAAATCTCCCTCGGTTGCCCCCCTTCCGTCAGACCTGTCCAGACACACACATTCACAACGAGCAGTAAAATGGCCGACCGTCAACCAACTGACTTTACAGCGCTTTAAACATAGATTTCGCCTCTTTCGTTTACATTATCGTATTTCACATTTAAAAACAATAGAAGGAGTGTTTTCATGTCTAACTATTCGATTTTGATGGAGTATTGTATTTCACGTTGCCTCAAAACCCAGAAATTCGCACTTAAGCACTTTAGCTGTAGCTAGAAGACTAGCTGCGGTGCATGTAATTCCTGAGGTAAGTGCTTTGTTTAAAAAAACAACAACTCATATGAAATGTTATTTGCTACTAATGGTAGTTATATGCATTTGAAAAACAGCACTAGCGTAAAAGTATGTATGTGTGGTACAGTTTTTCCTCGTCGACATCTGTTAGCCACTAGCTCGATTGCTAGTTAAATTAGCCAGCCAGCTAGTTAGCATATACTTGTTTGCGGGTTTAGCTTTCCGCTGGTCGGTCGTAAAAACATACTAGTTTTTTTTTTAGTCTGTACTAATTGACATGGACAGTGATTGCATTAAATAAAAACGCATAAGAATTTGCTTTATGGTTTTGTTGTGCAATGTATCCCGACTCATAGTCTAACGTTATTGCTGTTGCTCACCATATTTGATTAAATGCATATTTATGCGTGTCTTGTTTTGACAGTTGCTTACCCATTTGATTCGTTTTGCTATCCGTATGCAATTATTCGACGGATTCAGGGGGAATTTAACAAAGTGACCAGATTAACGGTTAGGATGTCATTTTCTTCTGCTAGGTTAACAAACTAGCTAACTCGGTAATACGATTTGGCAGGACCGCTAAAGCATACGAGTTAACGCAATATTTCAGATATTGCCGTTTAAACAGTTGATTTTCAAAGAATCGTTCGGATAGCTGACGCATGGAATGTAATGTATGTATTATCGTATATTGCACCGGAGGAAATGGGCGGGTGAACGGAGCGCCTGTCCGAAACCGCCCTGCCTGCCAACTGCAGGCTCGCAGACAGATTACAGCAATCATTTCTCCCATTACCACGATCACAGTAAGATTTTAATGGGCATCCGATTTATTACATGACACGCAAACTCAGGTTGACCCTATAACCAACATTCCGGTGAAGTTACGTATACAGTGATTTGTGATGGTATGATCATGTGAATGGTGCCGCTGTTGTGTCTAATGCTGTTATGCATTTGGTTTGGTAAAAAGGCAGCACCTCTTAGTGCCTGGACTAGTTGAAGGTGATACTCATCAAAAACTGTACATTTTATTGATCCTTGGTACTACGGATTATATCCTTGATTAGGTTTTTCAGTTGAACAATATTGTTTTTATACAGTATAATGAGCTCCATATCGTTTGTAGAAAGGAGCATCAGAAAAGGGAGCAGCAGTTCATGGAAGACAAGAAAAGGAAAAAGGAAGATAAAAGGAAACGGGAAACCTCACAGAAGGTATTTGTTATGTTATGTATGAATTAATTATTGTGGATTGTTAAATTATAGTAAATTAATGCTCCCTGTGAAGGTAAATTTATGCGGCAGGTGTGCATTAATTTTCAATAATTCAGTGTCACAGAGTGAATTCTTCAGCTTCAGATGTGTGTAGAACTACTTTCTTACACCTTTCTTACAAGTCATCCAAGCCTTTGTTACTAGTTTTTCAAAGCGAATTGGAACTAGTGATGTAGGCTTGTACTAAGCAGTTATTGGATTAACAACGTGTTTTTTTAATGTGTTGGACAGATGGAGAGACAGTAAAAGTAATAGCAGAAAACATTTGAAAGGATCATCTTATTCTTTAAATGCTTCGTATTTATTGTTCTTTTTCTGTGGTAGGCTGTAAAGGGCCATTCACACCAAGAATGATAACTATATTAGTGTCTACACTGACGGATGATAATATTCAGTTTATTCCAGAGCATGTGAGCGTAGTGGTAATATTTCCTCCGTAGTGGAGAGCGCCTTTCTGAAGATTCCTCTCCACTCTCAGTATGCAGAATGCTCGTTGTGATATGCTGGTTTGAGAAGGTGAAATTATTCAATAGCAAAAGGTCTTAGGTTATGGAGTTCAAATATTGTTTTAATGAAGTTACGAACCCAATACATAGCCTAAATGCATACAGGCTAAGTGCATTTTAGGCTAGTACATAGCCTAAAAAAGACGTTTAACTTTCAGAAACATCAAACTTTAAGAACAAAGAATGAGAAGAAAGTGTTGGCACAGATTAATTGTGTGATCTACTTAAAGTGAAAGTGTTTTTTGTTGTTTTCGTATGGTAAAAAAGAAGTTTGAAATACCTTCGCAACGCTATACTGTTAACAAACATTCCAAAATCCATACTGATGAGAGCACCATTTAGACGATTATGTAAATATGTGCTGCACGCTTTCCTCTCAATAACAAAAAAAAAAAAATTGGCAACAAAAATAACAGTGGTGAGAAAACAAAAATGATGGGCGGCAAAATTGCAAGAAGAGCTTGAAGTGTACTGCCAACTATAGGTTAGGATGTTGATTTTGCAACGGTTCAAGTGTCAAGTTTCATTCATATTTTTTTTCCGTTAATCCAATATAAAATGTCATACTATATTGTCCCTCATAACCAGTAGTATAACAAGCCTATGACCTAAGCAAGCTTGATTGTTATACTAGTTTGACATGACATAGAAGTAAGAAAAGTTTTATGTAGGCGTTCAAAATACTGCCTCACCCTGCTCATCTTCCGAGTGGAAGTTTCTCTGAAGCTACCGCAAGCGCCACAAAGAAAAGTACCCTTGCACAGTCTGAGGTAGGGCTGCAACTAACGATTATTTTGATAATCGATTAATCGGACGATTATTTTTTCGATTAATCGATTAATCGGATAAAAAATTTATTTCATTTTTTTGTTTATTGTAACTAAAAAAAAACTAAAAACCACACTCTTTTGTGTGTTAAACAATCTTTGTAATATAGACAACTTCATTATATAGAAAAACAACAAATAAAAAAAAATATATGACCATAACCTATGACAAAAATGCTATTGTAAACTAGATTAGTGGATAACTCAGAAAAACTTAGCCTAGAAAAATCACAAGTGCACAATAATTTTATAAAATCTGAACATTTAGTGAAAAAAAACATTCCTTAGTGGGGAAAAAATAAGAGACAATAAGTGTAGCACTATCTCTGGTAAAACGTTACACATTGCTCTTTGTATTGTTGTTATACATTCATGAAAAACATCGTAAAAATCAGATGCACAGCTGTTTAGTGAGGAAGCAATATTGACTGTGTATTATACAGTATCTTTGCAATAGTTTATTAAGCCTTTTCTTTTAACAGTTTTAAATTTCAGTTAGGCTACTGTGCACGTGAAGAACAATTATAGTGCGCCGAGTCTACTCTAGTGTTGTGATCTAACACACTCAGTAGAAAGTGATTAAGTTACAGCAATAAAAGTCTAGCAAGATAGTCATTATATTACGAAACCATAGACCTTTATCTACGGATCAATTATAATAATAACATTGAATCATCTTGGAAAGAGTTTCATCATGTTAACTGTTGTAACGCGACGCGCTGTTTGAACACCGAATAGAGAATGACTGACAGCCGCAGTGGAGGGAAAAGCTTACGTTAACTTGAATTTAATGACTTAAATATACATTTCTATCTCACATTATACTACAGTATGGCTTCATAAAGTATACACGATTAACGCAGGTCACCTATTTTGGTTTCAAAACGGCGAATTTGCCGAAAGGTGAATGATTCTCGTGTATGCTGCATATTGATAGCGGTTTCCTGATGCCCGCAAATTAGTTCAAACTCACGGAATCAAGAATGCGCATGCGAGACAGAAGATAATGTGCTCCAAACCGTCCGTGTTGCGCACAGACCGGCGAGGGAGAGAGACTGCGTGTGTGCCTCATGAAGCGGATGTAAGAAGCGCATGTAGCATGTAAACAATCCCCGTGACGTAATCAGACCAACTAATCGATAATGACATTCGTTGACAACGATTTTCATAATCGATTATAATCGATTTTATCGATTAGTTGTTGCAGCCCTAGTCTGAGGTAAAATTAAATGAGTTTGTTTTCTGCTGCAGACACACTTTTCAAAATCATATATTAATTTTAAGATGTGACGGTAATTTAAACGTGGCCTTTGTAAAAATATAAAGCAAAACATTAATTGTGCAAAAAGAAGTTAAGTGAACAACTAGTATCTCCAAGTCAACTAGCAGCAGCAGTTGACTTTAATCGACTAGTCGGCTAGTCTTACACATCCCTAATAGTTATCATCCTTGGTGTGAATAGATCTAAAGGGATAGTTCACTCGAAAATGTAATAGGGTGAGTAATTAAAGGGATAGTTCACTTTGAAATTAATTGTTGATATGTTTTAGCTTACCTCAAGGGCATCCAAGATGTAGGCGTCTTTGTTTCCACAGTATTTTCAATTTTGACATTTTTTGGTCAAACCGGTGTTGTCTATCAGTCATATAATGCAGGTAAGGGGGTCCACGTCAAAGAGCATGCACAGAGAAGTCAAAATTAAACATAATAATAATAATAATTCGTTACATTTATATAGCGCTTTTCTGGACACTCAAAGCGCTTCACATAGAAGGGGGGGGATCTCCTCAACCACCACCAATGTGCAGCATCCACCTGGATGATGCGACGGCAGCCATAGTGCGCCAGAACGCTCACCACACACCAGCTTACTGGTGGAGAGGAGACAGTGATGAAGCCAATTGGTGTATATGGGGATGATTAGAAGGCCATGATGGACAGAGGCTACTGGGCAAATTTGGCCAGGATGCCGGGGTTACACCCCTGCTCTTACGAAAGACATCCTGGGATTTTTTATGACCACAGAGAGTCAGGACCTCGGTTTAACGTCTCATCCGAAGGACGGATTTCATGAAACATGATTTAATGACTCGTAAATGTAAGTACACGTTGATGGCCTAAGACACGAAATGAGCGGTTTGTGTGAGAAAACGAA